AATCCAATACATTTCATTACACGCAATTTAAAACATCTGTATGATATAAGCAATGAAAAGAGCCCAAACTACAAATTATATAAGCTTTTTAAAAATATATATTTTAATTTTAAAGATGTGGGGTACAATTCAGGGTTAGGTATACAAATATTCATTATGCAGGTTTCCTTGTTGAGGCGGTGTGCCCTCCCTCTTCCCTGACAGTTTCCTGCTACTAACAATCCCATTCCACCCCCCAGCAGTTTCCCGTTTCTGCCAATCCCCTTCTCATAGTATTATGATAATTGTTCAAAGTCCACTTATGAGTGAGATCATGTGGTACTCAATTCATTGTTTCTGTGATAGATCACTCAGTATTCTAGACTCTAAGTTCATCCAAATTGCTGCGGAGTTCATAATTTTGTCCTTCTCTATGGCTGCATAATATTCCATCATGTATATGTACCACATTTTTTTCCTCTTTATTTTAAAGACGTGGGGTACAATTCAGGGTTAGGTATACAAATGTTCATTATGCAGGGACCCTTGTTGGTGAGGTGTGTTCCTCCCTCCCCTGGCAGTTTCCCTCAACTGCCAATCCAATCTCCCCTCTCCTGACAGTTTCTTACTATTGCCAATTCCTTTCTTATAGTATTATGATAATTGTTCAAGGTCTGCTTATAAGTAGTAACATTATGGTACTCTGTTCTTTGTTTCTGTGATAGATCACTGAGTATGATCTACCATAAATCCATCCAAGTTGCTGCGAAGTCCATAAGTTTGTCCTTCTTTACGGCAGCATAATATTCCATTGTGTATATGTACCACATTTTACAAATCCAGTCCAGCTTCGAGGGACAGCATGGTTGGTTCCATATTTTTGCTATTGCAAATAGAGCGGCAACACACATGCGTGTGCAGATATCTTTTTGGTAGAATGACTTGAGTTCCTCCAGGTATATTCCCAATAGGGGGATTGCTGGGTCACATGGAAGGTCAGTTTCTAGTTCTTTCAGAAGTGGCCACACTGTCTTCCAAAGAGGCTGTACTAGTTTGCATTCCCACCAGCAGTGTAGAAATGTTCCTTTTTCTCCACATCTTTGCCAGCATCTGTTGTTGTTTGTTTTATTAATGATGGCTATTCTTACTGGAGTTAGGTGGTCTCTCAGTGTGATTTTGATTTGTATTTCTCTGATGATCAGTGAGACTGAGCACTTTTTCACACATCTGTTGGCTGCCTGTATATCTTCTTTTGAGAAGTGTCTATTCATGTCTTTTGCCCATTTTTTAATGGGGCTGTTTGTTTTTTTCCATTCAGCACATTTGAGTTCCTTGTAGATCCTAGATGTTAGGCTTTTGTCAGATATACAGTTGACAAATATTTTTTCCCAGTCTGTGGGCTGTCTCCCTGCTCTCTTGATGGTTTCCTTTGCTTTGCAGAAGCTTGTCAGTTTGATGAGGTTCCACTTGTCTATCTTATCTCTTATGGTATGGGCACTTGGGACTTTGATCAAGAATTGGTTGCCAGTTCCAATTTCCATAGGGGTGTTGAAGTTTTATGTTTATGTTTTTGACCCATTTAGAGTTAATTTTTGTGTATGGTGGTAGGTACGGATCTTGTTTTAATCTGCCAGTTTTCCCAGCACTATTTACTGAATAGGTTATCTTCTCCCCAGTGGTGGTAGATGGAGATTTTGTCAAATATGAGTTGTTTGAGAAATTGAGGTTTGCTTCCAGAATCTCTATCCTGTTCCATTGTTGCAAAAGCACAAATTACATAAACTTTGAAAAAAATTTCTAACACATGTAAAGATTTCACATGTAAATCTGCCCTTTTCTTTGAGAAATTTTCAGGGAGAAAAAAGTTGATGTATTTACTTAATAATAAATTCATGTTCTTTGAATCAGTTTGACTTTTTTTTCTTTCCTTTTCCCCCTCCCTGCTTTTAAAAAACTGTCTTGAATTGCAAATGATTTACATGTTGCTTATAATAATATAAATATTTTCCTGTGGCTATAACAAATTATCAAGAGTTAACCATTACTGTCTTTAGCCATGGTTCTCTTTACTTGATAACGATGCCAGTTACTTAGGGATCATGGTTTATGTTTATTGAAATGCAGTACATAACTCTTTCCTATTAAGAGCAGCAGAACCCTATTTCTGGAGAGTGTTCAAATGAAAAGCATAATCGTAACAAGCAGAAACAAACCACCATTATTGCTACTTACAAAAATATCTATGCTATTTTCATTTAAGTGTAGTTATAATGATTCACTTTCAGAGTAAATCTTGGGGTTACCCCTGTAGAAATTTTATGTGAGATGTGAGAGCTTCTATTTTGCTTATAAAATTTTGTTTTAAATTTTGTACATTGATGATTATGTAACTGTGCAAATGACTTTTCTTTTTCCTAGTAGCCACTTACTGCTTTTCAAGAAAATATTTCTAGTCACACGGTATACATTTGTATAACATCACATATGCAAGTGTGTATGCTCTGGGTAAGGTATTGTATTTCAGCAAGAAAAGTTATAGCTAATAAAATGAGCCATTGGTCTACTGGTTTCCCTTTTGATCATTAGGATAATCAGGTCTCTTGCCTTAGGAAGTTATTTTCTTTTATTTTAAATCGAACCATTTTTCCTTCTTCTGAGTTTTGCTTGTTTCTTCTTTTTTTTTTCTCTCATTATCATCATAGGTAATATGAAAATACAGAATACAACCACAAATTTCCCTAAGCTTGTGCTGATTTTTGGTGAAAGGATGTTGGGTATTATTACCTTGCGCCTTGAATTTTCGTAGACTCACTTATAAATTTTAAATGCATTTCCTTTATAAAAAATAAAACAAAAATAATATACATTACAATTGCTATAACCACTTAACCAAAACATTGTTGGGATAAGATTCCATCCATTAAAATTATAATAAAGATATTTGGATGGAAAATATAATGCTTTGATTAAAGCTCGACAAAAAATATGTTCTTGTGATTGGAAAATACACTCAACTGTGAACCATTTTAATGGGTTTATTTCTTGTCAGCAGTGAAAACATTTTCAGGACAATAAATGAAAACATTTTCAGGACATACTTTAGACTCATATTGAATTGCGATGTTAAAAAATAAAAGCAACTTCAGTACAAATTTTTGAGTTTTTATGTTTTATTATTACTAAAATTCAAATACCCATAAAAGAATATGCAGAAGCATAGGCTTCAGGGTTACGATAAGTAGTATCATTTGTGGTTTTGAAACAGAATTAACACTGATACCTGAAAACATCTTTTGTATGAAATGAATCAACTTCTGTCTTCCAGGCAACATCCTTAGAAGTGACTCAGATGGTTTTCTGTGATCTGTGGCTCAGATGAGGCCGAGACTACGTACTTGTATCACATATCACACACATACACACATCAAATTACAAATTACACACACACACACACACACACACACACACACACACACACCCTATTCTTTTCTACATGTATTGGTACACATATTTAATAGACTAAGGAAACAGTATAGTCATTCTTCAAGTAGAAATATTTGTATGGTGGCAGTTTGGGGTCCTAACGAAAGTGTATTGAGTGATTTTGAAAAGTAGACTGAGAGAGTATACAGAGAGAGGACCTAAATGACAAATCCTCTCAGGATGATTTTTATGCCTAGTATTAATTATATATTAACTAGTCATCTTGTTTTTCAACCAGCTTAAAAATCCTTTGAACACATGGTGGACTATAAATTTTATTGACTCATTGACTGAAGCTAAGAATTATCCATGAAAATTGACATTATCTGGGTATGACTTCAGTTCCAATGCATGTTGTAGATTGATAGTTCTGTCCCCATGATGACCAGGACATTAGGCGATCACCAAAGGCGAGAAATGGCTTTGGTGCCATAGCTGTAGTGTCAGAGGACCGTGTCAGATGCTGTTTGGGGAGCTTAATGGTGATGCCTATAGGGAGTAGGTTAGGAACAGATGTGATTTGGAATCTCTAGACTTTCTGTGAAACTGTGTAAAATAACTGAAACAATCACCTGCTCCTTTAGCCAAAACACTTCTGGTTTTTTTCTTTTTTTTTGAGTTGGAGTCTCACTCTGTCTTTTCTTAACCAGTTTTACAAAAGAAAAAAACCCACAAAACAAATGTTGGATAATACACTAAAAGTGAATTTTGTTAAAAGCATTTGACCCTGGCAGCAGATTTTTAGAAGCTTTGGGAATTTTAGACACTCTAGCATGGTTCAGGAACATGTGTGCTGATCTAAATAGCAGACTTTCCAAATATATTTAGACAAGTCATAATAATTTAAATTTAAAAGAAATTTTAAGCGTATTTACCACAAAAAAAATCTATAATTTTCATTTGCCGGAGTGTTCTTTCTGAAGCTTTCAAAGTTGCTGAAAGGTAATTTTCTGTAACTTGTTTTACTGTTCAAATCCAATTTATTTCTGCCACCTGTTATTTTTCTCACTGGATTTTTTAGATATCATTTTGGACTATTGGATGGTACTATAATAAGAATCTCTCTTCTTATGGTGTAATTGACTCGATTTGACAGGTCAACAAATACACAATGAGAGTCACTGTGTGCCAATAGCTGCGATATTTAATTTTCCAAGGAAGATGCTTTTAAGCCTGAGTGTTCAAAACTCTCCATCTGTTTGTTTAGGAATATGTTCTTTTGTTACAGTGAATATGCTGATAATTTTTTTAGATCATATGCTGCAGGAAAATAAGAATTTTATCCTTGGGTTTTAAGTATTTTTTTAGGAGTCGTTTAGAATAATTTAATACATATATGTTATTTTTAAAATGTCTTTTGTGATAAACTAATGTTTTAATAGAGCCTTTTGAACAGAGAATTATGCATTTCAAAAACTTAATGAATGATGTCTGTAAATATTTTTCTACTGTGTAAAGCATTATATTTAGCAGAAGTGTTATAATGTGTGCAGAATCTGTTTCTCATTCTGGTATTATTTGTTTTTGATTTTTTTTAGTCTCCTGAGCAATGACTAAATAAGAAAGATTTCCAGAAATGCTTTTGAAGGATTTGAAAATTTACTGTATCTGTAAGTTGTAAGAAAAACCAACAATGGCTTATGGTATTAATTACTTTGTCCTTTTCGTTTGTTTAAACTAAATCAATTCTTTACTTTCTTGAAAAGCACAATCTTTACTCAAAACATATATGAACATTTCTAAGTGAAGTAAGTTGTTTTCTCAATATCTTGTGCATCTGAAAACATTTCTATCCCCCAACCCTGCCACAAACGTTCTAACTTAGAGGAAAACAAAAACAGAGTACGTTCAATAGTGCACATTTAAATCCAGTTAATCAGCAATTGTAAAAAAAAAAAAAATCCATACATCCAAAAGCAGCGTTATGCCAACCACTCAGTCAGTAAGACCTTCTGAAGCCAGTGAACACAGTACTACTAGAAACTTTAGTAAACTTAAGTAAAAACCAACTTTGGAAAATTAGCCTGAAAATATGGCCATTGGTTGTCATGCTTTTTGTGTATTATTGATAAATGGGAATAACGATGTTTTAAATAACTTCTTGTTTTTTGTTAGAAACCAATGCATGTTGATTAATTCAGTGTCAGGAGGTCACTAAGAACGTTAAGGAGGGAGCTAGAATTTTTGCACAAATATGTCCATTTGTAGATTCATGAAGCACTCTGTTCAAAAAGTTAGTCTTTTGAAGCGAACATACCTCCCCAAACTTTTGTTCTAATGTAATTTGCAGAGATGTGGTGTCTTCCTGAAGCACTAGAATTTCAAGATCAAGAGCCTCACAGACTCCTGTGTCTAGCTGAGACATCCCAGGCTAACATGCAGATCTCCCATGCCTCTTCTGAAGTCTTGGTTCCCTCTTAAAACAGCTCCTTCTGTCTGCTAAGCATTCATAACCAATCTAACATGCTGTCTTAGTCTTCTGCTGCTATAACAAAACACCACAGATTAGGCAATTATTAAGGAAAAAAAAATGCTGGGAATATACCTGGAGGAACTGAAATCACTCTAGAAAAAAAACACCTGCACCTGTATGTTTATTGTAGCATTGTTCACAATAGCGAACACATGGAAAAACCGTGCTGCGCATCGAAAAAGAACTGGATAGGCAACCCCCTCAGGTCCCCTCCCACTTTGGGAGATTTCCTGTCCTCTCAATAAATCCTGCTTTCTCAACTTAAAAAAAAAAGAAAAAAGAAAAAAAATGTTGTACACATACATGATGGAATATTACATAGCCATAAAGAAGGACAAAATTATGAACTTCACAGCAACTTGGATGAACATAGAGTCTATAGCACTGAGTGATCTGTCTCAGAAACAAAGAACTGAATATCACATGTTCTCACTCATAAGTGGACCTTGACAATTATCGTAATACCATAAGAAAAGGATTGGTAGTAGTGGGAAACTGCTGGTGGGGGGGGGGCACACCTCATCAGCAAAAGTATCTGCATAGTGAAAATGTGTATACCTAATTCTGAATTGTACCGCACATCTTTAAAATTGAAAATTAAAAAAAAGAAAGAAGAGAAAAAAATGTTTATTTGTCTCAGGGTTCTGAAGGCTGGGAAGTCCAATATCAAGGGGTGCTTTATAACATGGTTGAAGGGCAAGCAATAGACAGGGAGAGAAAAAGGACTGGAATCTCATTATAATAACCTACTCCCATGATAATAGCATTAATTCATTTTTTTCTTAAGAATTCCACCTCTTAATACCATTATTTCCTAAAAATTCTCCCTGTTAATACGATCACAGTGGCAAATAATTTTACTTTTGTCAATTAAATTTTAAAAATTTATTAAGTTTTTAAAAAAAATTTCAGTAGCTTTAGTGGGTACGAATGGTTTTTGGCTTCCTAGATGCATTGTATAGCTGTGAAGAAGTCTGGACTTAAAGTGTATTCACCTGTGCACACTGCACATGATAGGTGATTTTTCATCCCTTTCCTCTTTCTCCTCCTTCTCCTTCTATGTCTCCAATGTCCATTATTCTATTCTATATGCCTTTGCACATCTTTAGTTTACCTCCCACTTGCAAGTGAGAACATGAGATATCTGGTTTTCTGTTCCTGCAAGTCACTTGGGAAGATGGTCTCCAATTCCATCCAAGTTGCTGCAAAATACATTATTTCATTCTTTTTAATGGATGCATGGGATTCTATGGGGTGTGTGTGTGTGTGTGTGTGTGTGTATTTATAGATATACAATCACATGTTCTTTTTTAAATATTTTATTTTAATGATGTGGGGTAAAATTCAGGATTAGGTATACAAGTGGACATTGAACAGGTAAAGTTTAGGACTCCCTTTGGTCCCCACTTTGCCTGGTTTGAGATCAGGTGCACTTATTGATTTATGACCTGCCCGCACCCTGGCAGTATCCTGCTACTGCCAATCCCTCTTACAGTATTAGGGTGAAAGTTTAGGGTCACTTTATGAATGAGAACATATGGTACTCTGTTCTTTGTTTGTTATAGATCACTGAGTATTATAGACTCTAATTACATCAAAGTTGCTGTGAAGTCCATATGTCTGTCTTTCCTTATGGCTGCATAATATTCCATTGTGTATATGTACCACATTAAAAAAAAATCCAGTCCAGTTTCGATAGGCAGCACATTTGGTACAATTTTTTTGCTATTGCAAATAGTGCTGCAATAAGCATGCATGTGCATATATCTCTTTTATAGACTGATTTGAATTCCTCTGAGTATATTCCCAATAGGGGGATTGCTGGGTCTTATGGAAAATTAATTTCTAATTCTTTTAGAAATTGCCACTCTGTTTTCCATAAAGGTTGAACTATTTTGCATTCCCACCAGCAGTGTAGAATCATTCCTTTTTCTCTGCATTGTTGCTGTTTGCTTCATTGATGGCCATTCTTACCTGGTTAGATGGCATTTCATTGTGGTTTTGATTTGAATTTCTCTGATGATAAGTGAGGTTGAGCACTTTTTCTTGTGTTTGTTGGCTGCTCATATATCTTCTTTTGAGAAGTGTCTATTCATGTATTTTGCCCACTTTTTAATAGGGTTATTTGCTGTTTTCCTTTTGGCACATTTGAGTTTCTTGCAGATCCTGGATGTTAGGCCTTTGTCAGATACACAGTTGGTAAATATTTTTTTCTCATTCTGTGGGCTATCTCCCCACTCTCTTGACGGTTTCTTTGGCTTTGCAGAAGCTTTTCAGTTTAATCAGTTCCACTTGTCTATCGTTTCTCTTATGGCATGGGCACTTGGGGTTTTGATCAGGAATTAGTTGCCAGTTTCCATTTCCATAAGGGTGTCTCCTACATTTTCTAAGATTCTTACAGTTTGAGTTTTTATATTTACGTCATTGATCCATTTAGAGTTGATTTTTGTATATGTTGATACATAGGGATCCTGTTTCAATCTTCTGCATGTGGTTAGCCAGTTTTCCCAGAAGCATTTACTGAATATATTCTCCTCTCCTTAGTGGTTTTTGGTGGAGGCTTAGTCAAAGATGAGTTGTTTGAGAATTTGAGGTTTGCTTCTGGAATCTCTATCCTGTTTCATTGGTCCATATGCCAGTTCTTGTTCCAATACCAGGCTGTTTTGATTATTGTAACCCTATAGTAAAGTTTAAAGTCTGGATGTGTGATACTTCCTGTTTTGTTTCTTTTTGTTGTTGTTGTTGTTTTGGCTATTTGTGGTCGCTTATGTTTCCATGTGAATTTCTGTATTGCCATTTCCAGGTCTGAAAAAAATGATGTTGGTAATTTAATGAGTATTGTGTTGAATCTGTAGATTGCCTTTGGTAGTATGGACATCTTAACAATGTTGATTCTTCCAATCCATGAACATGGAATATTTTTCCATTTGTTTGTGTCATCTTTGATTTTCTTTCTTTTTTTTTTTTTTTTTGAGTTGGAGTCTCACTCCATTGCCCAGATTGGAGTTCTGTGGCTGCTCCCGGCCACCACAGCCTTGACCTGCTGGTCTCCATGACCTTTCCGCCTCAGCCTTTCAAGTAGCTGGAACTACAGGCATGTGCTACCATGCCTGGCTAATTTTTGATTTATTGTAGAGATGAAGTCTCCCCAAGTTGCCCAGGAGGGTCTTGAACCTGTGGACTCAGGCAATTCACTTACCTCAGCCTCCCAAAGTGCGGGATTACAGGTTGAGCCACTGAGCCCAGCTTGATTTTCTTGAGCAGTGTTTTGTAGTTTTCATTGTATAGGTCTTTCACTTCTCTGGTTAGGAAGATGCTGAAGTATTTCATTTTTTGTGTGGCTATTGTGAAAGAGATTGTGCTTTTAATTTGGTTCTCTGCCTGTTTGTTGTTGGTGTATAAGAATGCAACTGTCTTTTGTACATTTATTTTGTACCTGAGACTTTGCCAAAGTCTCTAATCAGTATTAAGGAGGTTTTTGACAGATTCTCTTGGATTTTTTGAGGTATAGGATTATATCATCAGCAAAGAGAGATAACTTTACTTCTTCTTTTCCTATTTGGATACCCCTGATTTCCTTCTCTTGTCTAAATGCTCTAGCAAGGTTTTCTAACACAATGTTGAATAGGAGGAGTGAGAGTAGGTTGCCTTGTCTTGTTTCAGTTTTCAGGGGAATTGCTTCCAGTTTCTGTCCATTTAGCAATATGCTGGCTGTGGGTTTATTGTAGATGGTGCTTAATATTTTGAAGTATGTTCTTTCTATGCCTAGGTGTCTCAGGGATTTTATCAAGATGGGATGCTGGATTTTATCAAAAGCTTTTCTTGCATCTAATGACATAATCATGTGGTTCTTGTTTTTACATCTGTTGATGTTTTTAACTACATTTGTGGTCTTGTAGATATTGAACCAGTCCTGCATCCTGGGGATGAAGCCTACTGGGTCACGTTGGATGATTTTTGAGATGCGTGGTTGAATCTGATTTGCTAAAATCTTGTTGAGCATTTTTGCATCTATGTTCATTAGGGATATTGGCTTGTAGTTCTCTTTTTTTGTTGGATCTTTACCCAGTTTGGGTATCAGGAAGATGTCAGCTTTGTAAAGTGATTTGGGGATGATTCTGTCTTTCACAGTACAAT